CATGAGCCAACAATGTCCACTTGCAGCCCAGAAAGCCAGCCATTCCCTGGGCTGCATCAAAAGAAGCGTGGCCAGCAGGTCGAGGGAGGTGATTCTGCCTCTCTGCTCTGCTCTGGTCAGACCTCACCTGGAGCACTGCATCCAGCTCTGGGGCCCTCAGCACAAGAAGGACATGGACCTGTTGGAGCGGGTCCAGAAGAGGGCCACCAAAATGATCCGAGGGCTGGAGCACCTCTCCTACGAGGACAGGCTGAGGGAGTTGGGGTTTTCAGCCTGGAGAAGAGAAGGCTGCAAGGAGACCTTCTTGCGACCTTCCAGTACTTAAAGGGGGCCTACAGGAAAGATGGGGAGAACCTTTTTGCAAGGCCTGTTGTGACAGGACAAGGAATAATGGATTTAAACTAAAGAAGAATAGATTTAGACTAGACATAAGAAAGAAATTTTTTTACAATGAGGGTGGTGAAGCACTGGAACAGGTTGCCCAGAGAGCTGGTAGAAGCCCCATCCCTAGCAACATTCAAGGTCAGGTTGGACGGGGCTCTGAGCAACCTGATCTGGTTAAAGCTGTCCCTGCTCACTGCAGGGGGTTGGGCTGGATGACCCCTAAAGGTCCCTTCCAACCCAAAGCATTCTATCATTCTATGATTCTATCCAGTCAGACTTCATTGAGAATAGAATAGTTGTACTGGGTGCTGCCCTACCTGTTAGCTCTAGTACTAACATAACATTTACTACTGGAAATTCCTTTCTTCTCATAAAGCTTGAGCTAAGTAAAATAATCTTTATTAGCAAAGATTATTGGTATTGGTATAAAACTGAACCTACACTAGAACATACACTGGTACAGCTGTTTTTAAAAAAATAAATCCCACTGAAGCACTCCTTTTCCTGTTGGAGCCAAGCTACTATAAATTTAAAGCTGTCTTATGCTGCAATATTTTGCACAGTCACAAATTCCACTGTGAGTTCCACAATAAAGCAAGTTTTAATTCACAGGAGTTCTTCAGGTCACTTGCCTTAGAAACAATCTCCTTACTAAGAAGGTAAGGAAATGATGACAAACTCCATCGTAAGTGCATCTCCTTTGTAAACTGACATAAAATATAGCAGATCAGTCCTACTTCTGAAGTTCTCTGATCTTGACTCTGAGATATAACATACATGCCTGTAATTTTTTTTATTTCAAGTCAAACCTAGAGACTGCATAATTGAATATAGAAAACATTTTTATCATTTAAAATGTGCACAGCAATCTAAAAGCAGTACTATAAAAACAACCTTAACAAAGTCTGATTTATATATACACCTCTAATGGATAGGAAAGATTCAATTTAGGATATAAATCCTCAGATATACTTAAAAAATGCAAACTAATCTACAGAATACCTGGAAATATCTTGCCAAGAAAGGTCTCAATATTTTAAGCTGTACAATTGTCAGCAGACCAGATTTTTTGGGGACTATGTTACTAGAAAATTCTTACCAGTGGTGGCCCTCCCAAGAATATTGTTCCCTGTTTGCCAACAATAATACTTTCATCAGCCATCGCAGGTACGTATGCCCCTCCTGCTGTACAGGATCCCATTACTACTGCTATCTATTGGGAAAAGAAAAAACACAAGTTAATGAATTGTCCAACCCTTAAAAACAGCAAATGCACATGCTACTATTATATATTGTACTGATTTTGATATAGGTTCTGGGACAGCACTGCATGATTATTTTTGCCTGACAGAGCAAACTTTTCATTTATGTTTTAGCTTTTCTTCAAAAAAAATAGGGATTCACTCTAGTTTTCAACAGTCTCTCAAACTATGATCTTCAGGCCACCCTGCAGGAAAATTCATATATGAAGTACCATGAGCTATGGATGTGAAATGTTTGAAGAGGCGCATGTTTTACCGTGAAATTTGTTTTTACCAATGAATGGTAAAAGGTTGAAACCTAGAGGTTGCTCCTGGTATTTCCCCTTAAGTCAGAGCTTCAGTTGTTGCTTATTGGCACAATTTCACCCATGTTAACATCCTTTGAAGAAAATTCCTCACATCTACCAGTGTATAACTTCAGTTCTTGAACGGATCAACTTATTAACTCTGCCCCTTCGAGGAGTGTTGAGTATCTCATTATAGGCTTTAGCACGAATAATCTCTGCTTCATCCTTAAGCCTAATTTTGAGATTAACATCTACCCAGTGAACGTCTTCTACCAGTAATATTTTGGTGATACTTTTGCAAAACTGACTTGACCCCAGACGTGATGAGTACTGTAGCAGTACATGATCATGAAAGTGAAGTTTCTTAGTTAACTTCTCCTTCATGGGAGCTCCTCCAAAGACCCTTTCAAAACAGCTTGTAAAGCAGAAGAAATGGAATACTCATATAGAAAAGGCAGACAATAAGAAAGTAATTGTCTAATCTAATGCTTTCTTTCACAACCACAAAATAAAAATAGAACACAAAATAATGTTATTTTGTGTTAACTTTGGAAATATCTCTAAAGCAACATCAAGTAGCATTCTGTGTTAAACGATAATTTAATATTTGCTCTTAAAAGAAAACAACACACAGAAATAAAACTTCCAAATCTCATTACCTCTATCTAAAGCAAGAGTAGATGAACTATGTCAACCTTTTCAGAAAATGGTTGTCAGTATCTTAAACTATATTCAGAGTCACATGATTAATCTGCAGTATTTCTGTTGTGCATTTAATAAACACCTCCAGGTAAATACAAAGATAACATAAGCCTCTAGAAATGGGAGAAACTTGGGGGAAAAATTAATTTGATTTTTTTTTTCCAGGATTTGTGGTTTTTTCCTACTTTCAATTTTAGCATGCTCATGCTGAAAAACATGCCTGCATTTAAACTTTAACTCAGGTGTTACTCTTTCCAATACACAAATTGGAATATGTACATATTGGAAAAACCAAAATTTACTTGTCAAATAGCACAACCTCAAATTCCCAACTAATGTGCTAGTTCCTGACTTCATTCGTTGAATTAGTGCATAGGAAATTACTTGGCACAATAAAAATCAACAGTTCTGAATGCACATACAGTATTTCATACCCACTGATCAGCTCCGCACTGCATCCATGCAGCATGAGTGTGAGAGAGCTTAGGAAGCGGCTAATGAGAAGCTAATCACAGCTTTCTGATTCACAGCCATACAGACATCAACGCAATTTACAGCTGCAGTAGGAGTATAATAAATTAGTCACAGGTAAAAGTAGAGGGGGAAATTAAAAACACCATAGGCAACTGGGAAAAAAAAAAAAAAAAGAAAAAAAGCAAGCACTTTAAGGGCAAAATTAAGCAGGGCTGATCAACTGATGAAACAGACCTTCAGGCAGGCCACAACAAAGAACACCAGGTAGAAAACTAACAACATCCAGACTCCCATGTCCCAAGAATTAACCAGCATGGAAATCAGATAGAGGATAATTTCCTAACACCATTTCCTAATGAAACATCTCTCAGACAGGGAAGATGATTCTAGCTACCACAGTTTGTTAGCACAGAATCAATAGCAGATTTACAAATGTTAATAGTGCCTTTCTGAAATGAAACAAAGCATAGAAACATCTCACAGTCAAAATACACCTGTATTACATGCTTTAAATGAAGGAAGCACTTCAGTAAAACATTTTTCCCAGTCTTCTATAAAAATTTTAAGAAATTTTCTTAACTTTCATCACTGTCATACCAACTTAACTTTCATCACTGTCATACCAACCAGAAATGTGATTTATTAAAAGGCAAATCTTTCCTACACTTAGTGTTTATTGTATAGGAGTACAATGCTACTCTTGATGCAATACTATATGCTAATCAAAATAAAAACAAATTCAACTTTATAAGGAACTTTACAAATACCTTAAAGTTGTTCCAAGACATTCAGGAACAGGCCAGCACGACTTTAGGGCCAGGCATTTCCAGAAAGGTCCTGCCTAACGTCAGTAATTTCAGCCTTGCAAAATGGGTTTACATATTCATCTTTGACATAACATCTAAAAACCATTATTCCCATACCAGACGATTGGAGTCCCTAGCAAAAATAAGGTTTACCAGAACTTCTCCTAGAAAGATAATTCAGCAAAACACCTCTGTGACCATCTCCTTTGACACCCGCTGTTCCACAAAAATGCTGGGACCAATTTTATTCACATGTATAAATCTTAAGTACAACCTAGACTTATCAGTGACTCTGCAGGATGGCCAGCTTGTAAACTGTCTTTTTTCTTAAATATCTTTGTTCTAACTAAATAGCGCTTTTCTTCTGGAAACCTAGCTAATCACTACAATTGCTCCACTTTTATTGTTGGATAGAACTGCAGAAGTTAAATTATGTCAGACTTTCTAAAAAGATTTAGTGTATTGTTGGCATCTTCAGCCTTGGATTTCTCTGGAGACAATGGATTTCAGGATTCTTTGGTAGAGGAAAAGATGGTTGAAGATTTGAAGCCTGACTTGCTTCCAAAGTGTGCCAAAAAGGTATCCAGGTAACAAATGCAGTTTCCTCAGAAATCATGTAAAGCCAATGTCTGCCATGTAAGGAGAAGTCATATGGAATACTGTATCCTTGACCAGTGCATCTGCTTCACACTGAAAGAAGTATTAGCTTCTACTTCCTCCTTTCACACTAGGAGAGTCAAACAAGCACAGCTTCTCACAGAGAATAAATAAAAATTGCTCCAGCCCAACCATGTCTCTCAATGACAGATGTTGGTAAGAACGAGGAAAATCAAGTCCTATTTCCACTTCACATTAATGACAAGTTCAATAGTCAAGCATGTCAAAACAATATGGTGGTGAAATACTTCCATGACAGTACTCAGATGAAACAGCAAGTTAGCTAAACACTTACTCTGCTTGAGGATCCAACACCTATTTGTAAGCCTAATGTTCTAAACCAATTTTTCTTCTCAGGTGGAATATCCTGAAAATTCCTTCACCTTCTTTCATCCAGACAATATAAAGTGATAGGCATTGAATTGACAACTACACCTAGGAGCAGGCTCTTGAAATTAAGATAATTCAGCGAAAACACCAGCTCACTGCTCAGCAGTCAAAAAAATCAAAGATCTTAGAAACTACTGGCAAAGGAATAGAAAAGAGAACAGTGTATATCATTATGCTATTTTATATATATATTTATATCTCCATCATTACTTGACATATTGAGTAGTGCAGTCTGGCTTCTTCATCTCTAAGAAGATATAATGAGACCTGGGAAAAGGTTTACAGAAGATAAACTAGGACCATCAAAGGTCTGGAACACTTTCTGTGGAAAGAACAGCTAAGTAAGCTTGAATTCTTTGGCCTGCAAAGGGGAGTAAGAGGCTGGTATATGAGAGGGCTACCCAACCATATGAAGAGCCTGGGAGCTGACTGACTAGACAGCAACTCTGTAGGAATGATCTGGTTGTCTGCTTTCCTGGAGCGTTCCTGTATTTGAAGGAGGTTATCTTCAAAGACCACAGGCTCCTCCACCCTCCCTGGCAGTCTCTCACAGGTCCCTGCTGACAATTCCTTAACAAGCCTGAGACTACTCTCCTGAAGTCCAAGGTCTTTATCCTGCTACCTGCCTTCCTCACCTCCATTGGGACCTTACACTCTGCCCTCCGCTTTCACTGCAGCCAAGGCTGCCATCAGCAATCACATCCTGAAACAGTTCTACATTCTTCATGAGTAATAGGTCCAGAAGAACACTTTCCCTAGCAGGCCACCTGTGTCAAAAAACTGACCCCAAGGTACTCCTGACATACCCATGACACAAAACCACTTCTAAATCCAGGAACTGTGACTAACAGTAATTCTATGCATTATTAATATATTAGAAAATAACCTCATTGTTTAGGGCAGTTTTATCATACAGCACATCAGTGTATACAATGGATATATAAATATACGCATACCCTTGTCAGTAGAAAGTATGTCTCATTTACTAGCCATCATCAAAGGGGTCCTCACCTTTATAGCACTGATGGAGAATAATCAACTGTTCCACGAGATTTCCTAGTGCTTCCTCACATGGCCCTACATACCATGTTGTCAAGTCCCTCTTTCTCCCACTCCAAGCCAGGAGCAGGTAGGTCATGTCATTAACACTAAGGCCAAGAAAGAATACAGTCTCTTCAAAACTATAATGACTTTTTGTGGACAGTTACTGTGTTTACAGTGCCTCTAATCCCCAGACTGGGCCATCAGGTCAGCACAACACAGTGCCGTCAAAACCAAAGCGTGGGTACAAGCACTGAAAACAGATAAAGGCAGCAAGCATAAAAACTAATTACTACACTTCATTCTTAAGTAAAGAAAATTACCTGTGGAATTCCTTGTGAGGACATGACTGCTTGATTATAGAAAATACGGCCGAAATGATCTCGATCTGGAAATACTTCTGCTTGCCGAGGTAGATTTGCTCCTCCTGAATCAACTAGGACGAATAAAAATATATTAACATGTCTTTGAACAGTTACATACTTAAATTGTTCGTAAATTATCTGGACATTACTTAAAACTATACAATTTATATCCAATATACAAAATATAAAATAGCAATTACTATCACTAACACTGTATGTATTTCCATGAATCTAGGTATATTAGGATACTCTTCTTGAAAAAAAAGAGGAACACCACCCCCCCCCCCCCAAATAACATCCATCCCAATTATTCTAATGGAAGATAAATTCAGATGTGCTTAGAGATGCAATCGTACCTCCCTATACAAACTTCTAAACTCATCTTACTGCAAAACATTTAAATGACGAACACTTTCAGTGTACAATTTTAACTCAATTATTCTATTGCAATTCTGTCACAGGTTCTAGAAAAGGGCGAGACTAACCACCACTGAGTTCAAGAGGTACAGCATGTGTACTTTCATACCCTGTGATTATACAGATATACCAAAGACCTCATACTCTTTAGGAACCTTCAATTATTATATGTCCTTGCCTCATGATGTGCCCTCCAGCTTACAGGTCTCCAACCACAGCCACCTCTCCATTCCCAAATAATGAAAATACATCATGTTGTAAGACTCCGAAGAAGGATAGAAGACTAGAAGGAAATGCACAGGGAGGCCAAGCATCTTTGAGAACTCTGGCTCCTGGTAATTAATTTTTACCTATGAGCAACAGTCCACATGCACACTCTCATGCTGCATGACTGCAGCCAGTAATGCCCTACATTCAGCTTTACTGTGCAACAGTTTTGATTCTTTCCCCCGCCCTTGCAGAACCACTCTTCCAAACCAGCATCAACTCTGGCAACTAGACAAACGCCAACCTGGTCAACAAACCAGTGTAGTGAAATAGGCCATCCCTGAACACAAGAGAAAATGCCCACACCAGTGACTGACTCAGTGACAAATTGTATCAGGTGTCCGCATCAGAGAATTAACACCTAAGCAGCTACCACTGAGGGAAATGGCATTTCAATGTTAGGTTAGGTTAATGGTTGGACTGGATGATCTTAAATGTCTTTTCCAACCTAAATGATTCTATGATTCTATGATTCAAATGGCATGAACGCGACATGGTCAGCAAAGTGCTGACTGACTACAAAGCACTCTCTCTTGATCACACAATTGAAATGGACTGAAACAAGCCCAAGTACAGAAACTGCAAAGGTAAAATAATTCACCAGGTTTGAGTTACAAGCAGCATATATACAGGGACTATATATCTCAAAGATGGAATAAAAGAATTAAACTTCTGTTTCAAAGGCATATCTATGTCCCACAGTTGCTCATTCCATAAGATCTTAAAACAGTAGAATCACACCTAATTCCTCACGGATGACTCACTAAAAAAGTAAGAGTTGTCTGAACAGATAGAATTTGCTGATATTCCAGACTAAAAATTCATACAGTTGTTTTGCAAACAGCAAAGGTAGGTTTCTTCTGGTTTTTACGACTAAGAGAAAATGTAGCCCTCCCCTTGCCTCCAAGACACTTTCCCTTGCAGTATGACAATCCCACAAAGTCCCTACCCACACTGTCCCTGTATCCACCCCACCAATACTTTCAAGTTCACATTTCTCCTAATCCTCCCCTCAGTATTCTTTGCATGTTTGGCCTACCAGCAGGGTGAGAAATTACAAACACTTATGCTGGCCAGGACCTACATTTATCTTCACTATTTAACTAGTACAAGCATCCTGACTGGCAAATCAATTAACGCCTCTCAGCTGCTATGTAAGCTGCTAAGCCAGGCAGAACAGACAAGGACTAACCCACCCTATTTTTTAAATAGAGACAGTAGAAGGGTCTTTCTCCTTTGATGCTGACTTACACAAAATCCACAGGAATACACACTCTCTTAAATCTGTCAAATTTTGCTGAAATTGGCTAATGGGTTCTAAAGTTCTAACATTGGGAATTGAGACTCAAAGACAGACAATGGCAGAAAGCTCTTGTACGAAATCAGGCTAAGAAAATACTGCCTGTAATATACTGAAGACATTTGGCACTCTGATCTTAATCTTTAATAAAGGTACACATAATTAAAACTTACATAAGGTTTGGCTAAATACTGATTTAACAGACTAAACTCAAAATGCAAAATAATATACAATGAAATTTCTGCTTCAGTAAAATTCATCCCAAATGGTAAAAATCTGCTGATCCAAACTATTATTGACACTTTTGGCACTAAGACTTTTTTTATTTCTTTGGTATGTTCTCTCACACAGCTACATGCTCCATCAAAAAGCAAGGTATCTTTTTTAAAACTGTAATTTGAATTCAGGCTGGATGAGACTACAGAATTGTGGAGTAATTGCTGGAAGTGATTTAGAGATTAAACTTAGATTCACAATTTTAGGAAAGGCACAGCATTGAAGAAGCTTCCAACGTGGAGTGCGGCTGGCATGCAAGGAATCCGTTTCACGGAAGTTCCCTAGGCCTGCAATCTTAGATGTTGGCAACACCAGGGGAACTTGGTGTGTTGGCTCTAAGAGGAACTGCCTGGAGGGTGGAGCAGTGTGGAGACACCGCGGCCAGGCTCTGTGTGGCACCCCAGATGGGACTGCTGTGAAGCATTCTGCCCAGCCGGGGCAGCTCCTGTGCCCTTGGTTTCCCCAGTACACTCCAACTCCTTCAAGCCTGGAGACTCGGTCTATCTACAGACATGGAAAGACAAAGCATTCATTGCCTTATTGCTGCTGCTTTTGGTCCCTGTATAGCCCTGACCGTCCCAGAACATGGCAAATGATCTATTGTAGATGTACTTACCAAAGGAACAGAGCGCAGTACAATGGAATGCTGTGAGAACTTGGGCAAACGATGGATGAATGAAGAAGGACAATAGGAAAGGTATAATATGAGACCCTGGGCCAACAAGCTGTCATGTTTTTGACAAAATGCTGTCCTTTGGTAAACCTTCTCATTATAATATCATTATAATACCAAAACACACCTCCACCCTAAAACCTACCTGCCTCTAAGATGCGACCGCTCCTCACTGAGCTTGCGCTTTGAATTTTTCCTAGTCTATACCTCTAAAGCGAAGTGAGAAAGTTTTATACCAATCATAACAAAAGTATGTATGACTAGAGTCACTCAAGCTCCACCTGACAGGTAGAAATAGTATAAATTAGCCTAAGAGAGAGGGGATGTTAGGGAAGATACCATTGCATACCACTCTGACTTCTGGGATCAGTCGACAGGATGAGCCTCTCTTCCCCCCCATCGGGACGCCTTTGGGTAAGATTCGAACACTTGGTTATACCAAGTGCCTCCCCAGGAAACTCAGAAACCTCTACAGTCACTTTATATCTTTTGATGCATCTGTGTTATTCATGCTTTTTGTATTTGCATGTGCCTTGCAGTCAGTGAATTTATCACCAGTAATCCAAAGAACCTGTTTGTCTGTTGCTTTAATAAACTGCTTTGATTCATTGGTCTAGCCATGATAGTTCTCACTGAACGCGACCAGACTAGCTGTGGCAGTTCATGCAACGCAACTAGATGAAAGGTGCCTACGTTATTTGTGCATCTGTAATTGTGATAGTTCAGTACACCGAATGTGACCGGACTTGTAACGATAAATTGGGTACCTTCCAAACCCCCCGTGCGCAACAAGGATGGATTGCTCAAGCATCTGTAGAGGTAACAGTACGGATGAAAACGTATTTGAATATGCACGTCTAAAATACATAACTTGTTTAGTCAAATCTGGGGACACATCAGCCTCAACAACATTTATTTAAAGACGTAGTGTCTTATCTAGAGATCCTGAGCTGCCTTAAGAAAAGTCATTTGCTATTTCTGCAATGTGACTTACCCAAATATAGGCAAGGGAGATGATTTTGCATTGCAATTTCTTGAGCACGTAAATGTTTCTTAACAGTGATGGGATAATAGGTACCACCTTTGACAGTTGCATCATTAGCAACAATCAAGCATTCCACCCTAAAAATAAAAGAAGTTTATGAGAGAGAAAAATATTTCTAATGAGTAAGTATGTTTGTTGGTTAAGAACTGCAACATGCCAAGGACCCCTGAAAGCCCGATGCTCAAAAAGAGCCCTCCTCACCTGCATTCCCTCAAAGGCACACTGTAACAGCAGTCTCAGCACTACGATGTCCTGTTTCACAGTCCCTTAACTCCCTAAAATAATGCTGTACAGCATCATATTTATTTTCAACAATAGTCTTGGAAGTACTTTTAGTGAGGAAAAGGAATTCGTAGCCTAGAATACTGCCCTATTTTTTGAGAATTGCCTTACTGATGCACTAACCTCTTTCCTTCATCAGACACCAGAAACTCTGTGTGTGTTCTACTTTAATATGGGATACGCTAACCAAAAAAAAAAACAAACCCCAGCTGACCAAAAACTATTCCCTTTTAGCTAAGACTGAATAAATTAAGATACCAACTTTGTTGATTTTTTGGGTGTCAGAAACAAAACACTAAAAATACTACTAGCTTAGTACTGGAAACTAAACAAAATTATACCTTCTTCCTTTTCATATCATCAATAATGTAGATCACTGGTATCTCTCACCCAGATACTCGTCCAATGCCTGTGATAATGCCTCCTGCTGGTACCTCTTCATTACCATACAACTGATAACCGGCAAACTGGGAGAACTCCAAGAAAGGAGACCTGAATAATGACAAATAAAACACTATTTTTAAAAGGAATTGGCCATATTTGCCATTGAATCTCACTTAAAAGGTTAAATTTTTAAAAATGAGAAAATTTTTCCTAAAAAAAAGAGATGAGTATTTCAAAGAACGCTTCTGTAAGATTTCAACTGTTACTTGCCAGTGTTTATGGAAACTAAAGAGAAAACAAGCCTGTTGCAGTACTTACCTGCAAAAGAGAACCTGAAGTGTTTTTAAAAAAAGTACCTACCCAGGATCAATAAGCCTGTCAATTCTCTCTCTGGGTAACAGCTTTCCTCTTGATGTGTGAAGCTTACGAGCTTTTTCTCCACCTCCTGTGATACAATAATAAATTGTTAGATTTACTATGGACAGAGATAGATAAATCACCACTTATATTAAAACTCAGAATGGAAGCACTAATGAGTTCCCAGTTTTTGAAGTACGGACCTTAATAATGAATTTAATAAATAACGGTTTTCACTTCAAACAGATTTAAGGTATTGATAAAAATGCTTGCTTTTCAGAATCTACTCTATTTTCCCTCTCATTTTTTATAGTTAGTCTTGAGGTAAAGACTTTAATAAACACAGTCTGAAACTTTTTCCCACTGCCTGGGAATGAACAGAAGGGTTGAAAACACAAACACACAGACAAAAGCACAGCACTAAGAACTACAAAAAATACTATTCCCCAAAATTGGTTCAAAATAGTTATACTGAATCCAATCTTGAAAGACCCAACAACAATCTGGATTCATTTCCTTAGATCACTCCAAAACCGTAAGCAGAGTTCAGACACACAGCGTTTAATATCAAGTTTACCTTTGTTTCATTTCGACCCTTTACTCAAGCTCATCCTAAATCATAACTTTTGCTCTCTAGAGCTTTATGTCATTCAACACTTAAGACATGCTGACACACCTCAGCCTCTTTATAATAACAGCTTATAGAAACATTGTCTATGTGGACGGACCACTGATCCACCTCATCACTCTAAAATTGTCTCCCCCACCCAAAATAAAGAAGGTGCTATTTTGCTAACATTTCTCCTGAGACTTCAAGATTTCTTTGTCAGCTAAGCATCACTGAAACAGATCTTTTAAGCCTATCTTTCAAGCCCTTTCTCTTACCTCCTTCTTTGATCACTATGCACACCATTTCCTACCTGGTAGGCATGCCAGAAAGCCCACAATTTATTTCTGAGTCAGCCTGTTCAGGTCTGTGAGGTCTGTATATCCACCCTAAATCTTGTAAACTCTTTCTGTACAAGTTTCTTAAGATACAAGCTCTCTTATCCACCCACAGAGCTAAAACTCTCATTGAAGATCTCAACATCCCACACCGTGATAACTACAACATTTTCTCTGACCTCCATCTTGCCTTTCTCATTTACACCCAGAGTGATGCTGCAAAAGTAATTTTCCATCCTGTGATTTTTGTCATCTCTGTGCGCTCCCCTCTTCACATGCTAATCGTAAATGCTTCTTCTCCAGGCCCTGTGGCCATTCTATTGAGCTTTTCTCTTCCAAGACCAAGACATTCGCTCTACCCTATGCTAGCCTCCATTCTGTAGACCGCAAGAAGCAGCATCCCTGACAATGAAACAAACTTGGAGGCATTTAATTTTAAATCCCTTCTTTAATTTCTCCTTTACAGTAATATCTATAAAGACGTCACTGTGACTGCTGATGTGCTCTGACTGCTGCCAGTCATGGACACTAGAAGTATCTCAGTTGCTTCTTGTTCTTGTCATCAGAAATGTACCTGTGGTAACTTATCATAGCCTGTAAATTCTTTGGGGCAGGGACCATCTTCCTGTTGCACAGCTGGGGATTACTCAGCAGAATGGGATATGGATTCACAAAAGCCCTACCCACTTAAGTAACAGATAAAGAATGAAGCATTCATTACAAAGACATCAAGCAAGAGTTCATCCTCTGAAAGACAGCTCTTACAAAGAAAAAGACATTGCACTTATCCTTCAAGCGTATTCAACGTAAATATCGAATTCTTCTCAGACACCTAAATGACAGACAAAGCAATCTCAATCGATGTCTCTCAAAATGGTGTGTTAACATCCTGGTAGAGCTCCCTGAGATGGAGAAAAGATGAGGGCCATGTTCGTGTCCTGTTACCATGTAACAGGCAGGAACAGGAAAATGTGCAGCAGTGAAGAAGGCTATGATCATTAGCTCATGAGCCACATAGGGAATTGCTGAACAGTCTCTACACCCATAAAAGACAGGGGTAGTCCATGGGTTTCAGCACCTCCTCAAGAAATCCTGGAGCTTTGTTTCACAGCAAGCAAGAAAAAACACTAAGCACAAAATCTTAACTGTGCTCTTTCCAAAGCTGTAAAAGAAATTGATTAACATAAGAAACAGTATATGAAGAGACAAACAGTATCGTGACAGACACAAGAAGGGGACAATTAAAGCTGCATGCTTAACCTCTGGCATCACAGTTAAGCATTTATAAACCATTTTCATTTTATTGTCCCCGTTAATTATAGTCAACTGCAATTAATTCAGGTAGTCTTAGAAGTCAGGAAGATGAAACACAGATTTCAATCCTTTTGACTGAAACTATTACAGACTTGCTTTTGTTTGCCAGCACAACTACAGCTAGCATCTTTGAAAATCCTCTTTGCACGTGAAGAGGTTAACATGCAACCCAGAGGCACATTTGCCAAACCAATTTGTTATAAAAGCAGGCAGTAGTGGATACAGCGAAGAAGCAGGTGAAGTGGAAAGTGTATCAGTAAAAGCCTCTTATTAATAATCCTATCTATTTTAAAAAATACTGCCATTAGAAACATACATTCCATTGACTACTAAGATCTTAACAGATTAAAAATTAACCGACTCTGACTATCTAGTTTTCACTATCTACTTGCTTACTTTTTGCCCCTCTGTCAATGAAATTTATATTGTTTGACTAAATCAGCCTTGCTTTCGTTTATGTCTGCTTCCAGTCATTTATGGATTTCCTTGCATTAGCATATTACTCTGATATTTAACTGGCAAACAAAAAAATGTGTTAACACACTATATACTGTGCTAAACAAAGAAGTGCTAATGGTATGGACATTTTTCTTAGCTAGCTTGAGTTACTCAAAAAAAACCCTGAATTTTGAACTAAGTAGTTAGCTTGGATGTAAACCTTTTAAAATTTTAAACTGACGGAAGACGGTAAATCTAGATTTAAACAGATGAGCTAAAATTTCAGCATGACTACTAAAATCCAGCAAATATGTTGTATCTGAATGAACTGATTAATGAATGTACAGCCATAGGGGAAAAAAATCCAAAGAAGAAAACTGGGTTTTGGACCAAATTAAACAACTGTTCTAAAATCTAGACTATCATTCTTACCTAGTCTGATTTTTTCTGCTTGCTCTTGGAGTTCAGTTACCAGGGCTTTCATTCGTTCATAGTTTTCCTAAGTGGGGAACAAAACAGCATTTTAACAAAGAGTGACAGTATTATTTTTAATAAACAAACACAGAAAGCACAAGATTTCTCTTCCAAACTTCATTTAACCTTATTAAATACTGGCTATGTACTGTCTTTAAAGTAGTAACATTTCTACCTTTTATTGGCTTTCCTCAAGCATCCCAAACCATTTAATAAACATGCTTCACAAAAACCCTCAAGTGCATTAGGATAGTAAAAGACTAGTTCCAAATTTAATAAACAAAAATAGAATTAGTCACTACAGAGCTGAAGTACTATTTTTCAGGTTTTGTTAATTTTTTGTTACAGGTTTGTTTGCTTTTTTAATCTAACTTTGTAAAAAACATCAGGAGGATTCAAATTAAGTGCTGCTATGTCTCTTGTATCAAAAGATGAATGATCTAGACCAAGGAGAATTTAGTAAATACTTTTTACATTCCTGTTGTTTAGGTAGAATGTAAAGATAAAACAAAGCTTTAAAAAACCAAGAAGTCTGGTCTTCTTGCCAATATCCCTCTTAAAAAAACAAGGACTCTTAATTTTGAATATGAGTGATCCAGTACTGAGCTTACCACTTCTATCAGAATTATCCAAAACTCAGTGTGCTCATTACAGCAGTTTTTTACCATTTCTTAGGAATTAAAAGGTATTGGTCAAGCTCTAATTTGTTTTTTTCCAGACATATTCAGAGCTATGTTACCTCTCTGAAAAGTGTAACTGCAATAAAGGAACATAACAACTGCTGCATCAAAAAACCCAAATCATACTGTCTTGTCTAATTCTCATTTAGAAGATACTAGAGTCTACTTTGACAGAAAAAAAACAATCTGGTGACTCTGTATTCGGACTTGAACACTCAGAATTAAGGTTTCCCCTAGAAGCAACAAGTGTTGCAGTTAAGTTTGTTCAGCTCTGTCTTAGTCACTGAAAGGGCACCAAGATGCAAAGCAGGAAGAAAATAAAAACACATATACAGGCACCTCACATCCAAACTGTTTTAGCTGCATAGTAAGACTTTCAGAAGAACACGTTTCTCCCCCTTTGTAATTGCTACAATTAGATTAAAAATACTCTTTATTGAAAGGTAAAAACATATCAGGTGACAACAGGTCTTAGCAATTTTATCAGCTCATATACACAGTTAAGGTCAGCATTTAGAAGTCGTCCAGCAAGATCACGGGGACAAACTGAAACATTAAGTCCATCTCCTGTGCCTCTGTTGGCATTTGGGAAGGATTCCCCACATTCAAATGAAGTGCCATCTACAATACAGCCCACAGCCTGCACTTGCACGAATTCTGTACCACCCAATTGCTAGCCAACACCTAACGCATCTCAAGATACCAACCTCAGGTTAACGAAATCTCTCTGATGTGTGGTACCACCCTGCAGCCCCCTGACTACTGAGGACACGGGAGGTCATCAGACTTTGGCATCTCCTCCCTCCTTTGTAAGGCTGTATCAGCGTGTCCACCACATTATTCCCCTTTCAGTCTATTCCTTTTGATACTTTAATTCTCCCTCGCCCTGCCCCACCCACAGCACAGCTCCAACATCTACCTCTACAACTGTTTCTCTTCCCCCTAACCTGTGAAATTGCTCTGCAGTGACCTACTGGCAGTTTTAGCACTGCCACAGCACCCCAAGCCCCAAGAACAAAACAAGCCACGTCTTGTTAATTTGAGTCTACCGCTCCCAGGAGAGAATATAGACAGTAACTGCAGCCACACAACCACATGCAGCACTGAAGAAAACAAAACCTGCTTTCAATCCTTTCCAAAAGACTCTGTTTACAAGTTAACTTTTTTCCCCTGTGAAAACTCTGTAAAATAGCCATTTTAATTCCATACTTTGAAAAATCTGCAGTTGTCACAATACCCAACTTTCCCGTATGCATGAGTATTCACCTTGTCCATCTGGCTCATTTCGCAGCATTACATGTAAAGTATTTTCCCCATTTCTCCTGTTTTCTCTAAATACACTCACCTTTTGCACACAGTACTGAGCTTAAAAACTCACCTTTAACATCGGGGAAAAAAGCAGCTACAAATGGCAGAGGAAATTAAAAGAGGCACAGCAATCACGATCATAGGCTTGTTTATTAGATTCTGAATGAACAACTCACTCTAGCTACTCTAGCTATTCTACAAGAAAAATTGCGTAAAGGACTTTTTAGATCACCTATAAAAACTATGGTACTCAAATATTTGATTTGCTTAAATTCACTTAGCTCCTATCCTTATCTTTCATGCCTTCAACCAGAACACATCATCATTATACCTGACAAAGGGAAAGTAAAGATGCCTTGAAATCTTACTGTAGGTTTTGAATACACACAGAAAAGGCTCCTCTCAGAACCAAATGGGCTAGTTCTGCCCCATATTTGTCGGCTCTTCATTAATTGATGACAAAAAGGCCAGTGAAGTGACGCAAGTTCTTTCTGGAAACTGGCCCTTGCACCAGCAAGTTCTATAAAACCCTGCTGTTAATATGAGGGCTTCTACAAACTTTAAAGCAAAATCAAGACGCAAACCCTACAGACTAATCCTACAGTTATTGCACGAGCTAACTGAATTACTGCTGCACAAGCAAAGCGGCTGCAAGAGCTAATCCTTGGAATCTTTACATAGATTTTCCTTTATTTTCCAGAATTTAGACTTACTCATTTTTAAATTACATTCTTACCTGTCTGGTTTGAAAGACAGTTTACATTATGAAGGCCAGCCTGTCTAGCTGAATTCACAGCCAGAAAGGCAAACATTAGCTAAAGAAGGCAAGACCTTCATTACATATTGTTATGCCTTCTTGTGTTTGCACTGTTATTCCCTGTATTACTTTTATTTCAGGCGGTTAAGTGCCTCACAGCAGGGACCTCAGCACTTCGTGTCTGTAAAGCACTACATGCATTTACAGTGCTCTATAAATTATTTCTACCAAATACTAACACTATTAGCTATTTATTGCTTGAATGGCATACCACATGGATCCACATGGGTTTGTCTAGCACAGCTAGGCACTTTTCCTGTCGTGACATCCCATTGGGAACTGCTGCCAAAAATACATGAACATTAAAAAAAAAAAGTAAAAAATGAGTTCTGTAAAAGTTACTAAGCCTTGCTTTTCAAGATCAAAACGTACACACACACAAATGCAAATCCAGTGACAGCTTAGCTAACTAAGCACATTTATTAAAATATTACTTTTTGGTATACAAACTATGAATGTACACACATATAAATATATACACACTTCATATTCACAAGCTTTGTATGTGTGTATATATATACACATACTGAAATTCCACAGAAATTTCAGTCACCTAACTTCTATCCAAAATTTAGTTTCTGCAAAACGGAACACAGAACCGACGGAAATATTTCAAAAAGAATACATGTTGGTGCTTCACCTGCTGTTTGATATTTTACTTGAGACAAATCTGAAAACAAACGCATGCCCTCCTAGCAGTTTTGATCCACACCCAAAACTATGTTTTTCTCAGCCTAAATGTAAACACGATCTTGAGTTATGATGACGTTAATAATGCCCCATTAAAAATAAAACTGTTTACACCAGATGCAAGTACTGTTCTCTTTATAAAGACAACTGGAATTCCACCTATCCCTCCTCCTCAAAAGGGGGTTCTTTTTGCTGGTATCCTGTTTTCTGGAGACACGCCTAGGCCTGTGTGAAACTATTCCACCCGTCAACTCAGGAAGCAATTTGCAAACACAAGAAAATTTCCGACTTTGAAATCATCAGACACCGCTTTCAACCGCCTACAAACTCTCTGCCTCCACTTCATTAGTACGGTATCGACCAGCTCTTCAACACCGAAAATGCTGGCACTGATTAAAAAGCGTCAAAAAACCCATCACGAGGCAGGCGGCGGTACAAACCCACGTTGTTTTTACACGGTACCTTCACACACAGCTTGAAGGAAATAAAGAGCGCCTGGCATTTAAGAGATATGCAAGGGGGAGCGGCCCTGTGGAGGCCGGCCTGCGCGCAGGGTGACCTCGGGGCGATTCAGCGG